AATCATCTATCTACACACAGACATCTGTCTCCTCCACTCTCATATATCTTTGGAATTTGACTCCCACTTAGCTCCTTTGCCTAAACTCTTGCCAGTATCCATCCAGATCACCCATATGGATAATTTATTCAACTTCATAACATCCCAATGTCAATGGTATTTTCTTCCTCTCTTCCAAATCCCTCCTATCTTTATACTGACTATATTCACTCTTAAACCACATTAGGATCATTAGACTTTCCCTATATTCTTTGAATATATCAGCCCCACTACTGTTTTTATTTCTTTTCAGACGAATTAGTGTCCTTGTGGGTAATCACACAATCCATTTTCTCAATACTAAAATCAATTCCCTCCCCTTGTCCTGCCACCGTGCCTTTGTCACAAACATCTACCGCTAGATTAGTCTTTCAATATGCCTTCTCTCTTCCTCCACCTGTGTGACTAAGCATTGCTGAAGAAAAATGGTCAATTGTACTGAATGATTTTATCATGGCTTATAAGACATTTCTTCAAGAGATGCTTGATATCACTATTAACTGTGGAACTGCAAGGAAAAGAAATCCAGTGTTTCAAGGCTACACTTTTAATTTTACTGTCTGAATCATTCAAAACTTAATTACAAAGAAAATAGTCAACAGAAGCTAGTTCAAAGACAAAGGATTTTGTTCTTATCTGGAGTAGAAGGCTAAAGAAATAGACTTTATGCTGAGCTTCCATTAAAAAGTCCCTAAACAACCTGGGACTGCAAAGGGAGCTGTTAAGAAGCTGTAAAATTGGGAATCGTCCTACTAATTTGGGAAGCCATAATTATATTTGTTTATTCTAGAATCACTACATGTTTTCTACCATAAAGAAGCCATGTCCCTCATTTTTAAAACAACAAAAAATAAAAGATGTTGGCGACAATGTAGAGAGAAGGGAATCCTTATACATTGTTGGTAGAATTGTAAAAATTAGTCCAACCTGTATGGAAAACGATATGGAGATTTCTCAAAGAACTAAAAATAAAACTACCATTTGATCCAACAATCCCACTCCTGGGTATATACCCAAAGGAAAAGAAATCATTATACAAAGACACTTGCATTTTTATGTTTACAGATGCACTATTCACCATAGCAAAGATATGGAATCAATCTAAGTGTGCATCACAGATGATTGGATAGAGAAAATATGATATTACACACACACACATGCACACACACAATGGACTATTACTCAGCCACAAAAAGAATGAAATTGTGTCCTTGACAGCAACATGAATGGAACTGGAGGCCATTAAGCAAACTAACTCAGAAACAGAAAGTCAAATACTATATGTTTTCATTTACAGGTGAAAACTAAATAATGTGTACACATGGATATAGAGTGTGGAATAATAGACATTAGAGTTTCAGAAGGGTAAGAGTAGGTGAGGGTGATAAATGAGAAATTACTTAATGGTTATAATGTGTACACTATTTGGGTGATGGTGACACCAAAATCCTAGACTTCACCATTATGCCACATATCCATGTAACAAAATTACACTTATACCCTCTAAATTTATACCTATAAATAAGTAAATAGCCATGTCCCCAGTTAAGAAGTTGTCAGCAGCTATGTAAACCAGAAGAAGCCAGCCTTCAAACTGCACCCCAGTGATCTTTGCCTCTTAGTATCCATGCCCTTGTGTTGTCCTCTCCCCCATTGAATAGGGCTGATTTGTTGGACCAACAGGGTACTCCGGAAGAAACAGTATTTGTCTTTTGAGACTATGTCATAAAAGATATTGCCTCTTCCACTTTTCTCTTTCTTGGATCACTTCTACCAGAGGAATCGAACTACCATGTTATGAGAACATTCATACAATACTCTGTGGAGAAATCCACGTGGGGACAAACAGACAGCTCTTCCAATAACTAGCACCACTTGCCAGTCATGTGAGTGAGCCACCATGGAATCAGATCTTCCAGCTTCAGTCAGGCCTTTGACTGCAGTCCCAGCCAAGATATGACAGCAATCTCAAGAGAGACTCCAAGGCCAGAATTGGCCAGCTAAGTTGCTCTTAAATCCCTGACCCACAGAAATTGTGAGAGAGAAAATGTTTGTTGTTGTTTTAAGACACTAAGTTTTGGGGTAATTTTTACTGCAGGAATAGTATAGGGATCAACTTCCTAAGCATTAATCCTTGCTTCAATGTGCACTGTCCTTCCTCTCCTTCATCGCCCACTCCGATGATCTAAGGTCAAGAGTTGAGAGTTTGTATAAGTAAAATCTGCAGTTCTCTGTGAATGGACTAGACTCTTTCACCTTCTAGTTCATCCTTCACTAGATTTCTAATAATGGTTCCTATTGGACTAATCTCCCACAGATAACAACTATATCTGGACAAATATATATATATGTGTGTGTGTGTGTGTGTGTGTGTGTGTGTGTGTGTGTGTGTGTGTATACATGTGTATATATATGTATTTATATATTTATGGATATATATGTGTATATATATACATGTGTGTGTATATATATGCATATATTGTATACACACACACACACACGCACACATACACACACATATTACAAACTGCCCTTGGACAAAAATTTTAAAAAATCATTTGTGTATGTATAGTATATATATATATGTGTATATATTATATATATTTGTATATATACTATATATAAATATACATATTTATATATGCCCACACTACCTAAAGACATTGGACAGAGGCCAAAAAGCAGGCAGATACTGAAGTGCAGTCATCACTTCAAAGGCAAATAAACTTGATTAATCATCAGGGATTTTAAAAAAATTGCCTAAGGGCAGGTTGTATTATGCACTATGCTGTGGTTTAAGGTAGGGTAGGCTTAAATGAAGACAGAAAGCCTATAGTCTTACTGACTTGACGAAACAGAAGAGAGAGTAAGGGCAACCACCGCAACTGAAAAGTGAGGAGGAAAATCTCAGAAAGGAGAGCATCCCCTGACAAGGGGATCCTTAGATTCTATAATTTCTGATTGATCACTGAACCATACATGTGCAGACTGGGAGTGGATGCAGACTCCAAGCAGTCCAACTAAGTTTAAAAGAACCAAACTGAGATTTCAGCTGTTATCTACTGAAGTGGAGACAGTTTTCCATTTGAGTTCAGCACATTTAACTGCCTCCCTCTTCCCTACATACATACACACACACACACACACACACACACACACACACACATGTGAAGTTCTGTGGTACCAAACTGTGAGCAAGCAGAACTAGGAATTTTGCTTGTTTTTATGAGGTCCAAAAGGTACATAGAAAAGTTCTGCGAGATTTCCAGTGGGAAACCGGTTCTCTAGAGAGAGGCTATTAATTACTCTTTAGAAATGTCCCCAAATTTTGATGTAGCATATTTATTTTTGAAATATCACTGTGCATTCATTCATCTTGAAATAGTCTGTTAATCTTTTTGGGAAAAGTGCTTGCAATATTCCAAGTCATCAGGTAAATTGGTTTGAAGAAATCCAAGGAGTTCCTTAAATGTCAGCTCATCTTCAAGGCTTGAACCTTTCAAGGTATGGGGCAAAGGGCACAGGCTGACGTGTCAAAGACAAAAGAGCTTTAACACAGGTAGAGGCACATATATGCTTGCCTAATTGTGACAAATTATCTCTTGAAATTTTCTTTTTTTATTTCTATAAGTTTTCGGAGAACAGGTGGTATTTGGTTACAAGACTAAGTTCTTTAGCGGTGATTTGTGAGATTTTTGGTGCACCCATCACCCAAGCAGTAAACACTGAACCAAATTTGTAGTCTTTTATCCCTCACCCTATTCTGACCCCTCTTGAACTTCTCATGGTTTCCAATTTGTCACTATTTGATATTCCTCTATGAGCCATGCCATTGACCTTTATCTGATACATTTGAAGAAGACAGAAGTGAAAGAGTGGCTTCTAGTATGCTTTGTGAACAAAATCATGTGTGTAAATAGAGTGTAAACCTATTGACAGTTCAGCAATTGCCCTTCCTAATATTTAAAAAAATGTTAAATCTGCTTTCTGTGTTAAACCTCTGTATGTTAGAATTCATTTATTGTTTCTATGAAGTCCAAAAGGTACACAGTAAAGTTCTGCAAGATGTTCAGGGGGAAACCAGTGTGAAACATCATTCACTTAGTCATTTTGTTTAGGAATAGATTGTGAAGCAAACATATTCTGAAAATGGAAGAAAAATTTCAAGGTTTGCATGGGAGAGTTGAGGAGTCTGGCTACTGTTTAAAAACCAATGTGTGATTTTTCAGGCCTGATCATAGGCAATGACAAAGACTTTACCTGGCAGGCCTCACCAGGAAAGCTGCCCTTCACACACCAGACTTGGTGCACAGCCTGTGTATGGCAGTGTCTGTGGGGTGCTGCACTCCAAGGCTCAGACCCCTCTGGCCAATGACGCTCGTTCACATATTTGCATTCTGAGCTCAGTGCCTTCATTTCTAGGTCCTTTATCTGAGGCCTTGGGCAAGAGGACTTTAGGTTCCTCTGCTGAGATCTTATGGAGTAAGGAGAAGGGGAAAAGTTTGAAGAGACTTTTCTTCACTCTGCCTCAGTACCCAGGACTTTTCCAGTCCGACCCTACCACCTAACTTCAGGGTCCATAAAACTGCCAGAGCCTTTTGTTTGGGGCTCCCTCAACAGAAAGATGACCCCACGTCTGTGCTACTCCACTTGAATCTTGACCAGTGTGCTGTCCTACAAGGGAAAATGGAACATTGAAATTCGTGTTTTCTCTGGTTTTAGACACTTCCTTGTTCCATCACTGTGATTAAAGGCTTAACTCTTTCATTTTCGGCTTGTGGCTTTAATTGGCTGCTTGAATACCTGACAGCTCAGCTCTCTCCCAGCTCAGCAGAGCTTCTAAAAAGACTAATTAAATTTTTTCCATTCTTAAAACACCACTAAGAATCACAATCCTAAATCCATTGACCATACTAAGCAAGTATGGCTGGTGCTTGATAAACAAAGTGAGTTCTGCTAAATTTGCTCCAAAACATTTTATTAATAAAAGTCTTATTTAAAAAACAAAATAGAAAAGAGTTAAGTATTATATTGAATAACATGTTGATAGCTTGTGTATGGTTATGTGTTCTAATTTCTCTGGGGTAAAGAAAGAAAGAGTAAATATAGTCATATAATTTTTTGAAACACGTCCAAGTACAAAAAGCAGCATGCTAATTTTTAAGTGCAAAGAAAGCTCATAATAAAATAGACTTTAAAAATTACAAATAAAAATCTGTACATCAAGGATATTTTTAAGGCTTTCCTGTGTGCATGTCATCATGTAGACAATGAAGAGGAACTGCCAAGAGAGGAATCATCACGTCAGGTGCTACAGGTCTGGCCCATTTCAGCTTGTAGGACCATCTCCTCTTTTCTCAAGGGAAAAGTGTCAATTAGGTTGAACAGGGCCACAGGCATCACCAGGGAGACATAGCGCTCTTTGTCCATCCCATGCTTATCTACTAGCACCATACTGAAGGAGTAGAGTGGGATTCGCAGCAACAGCCTGTGGCAGACAAAGAAAAGAGGAGACTAAGTCAAACCATGACTCCCAAGGGTCCTGGTGGATCAACCAGAGCCCTACTGTAACAGAGTGTACAGAGAAAGCCTTGATACCATGAAGGACTGAATCATCCTTTAGACCCTATCTACTCAAAGTGTGATCCTTGACCCAGCAGCATCACATGGGAACTTGATAGAAATGGAGATTCTCATGCCCCACCCCAAACCTACTGAATTAGTATATCCATTATTGTCAAGATCCCCAGATGACTGATATGTACATGAGAGGTTGAAGAGCACTGCTTTAGTTTTAGATTATGGTCAGGAAGACTTCAGGCCTGCAATGGTACCATGTACCAACATTTGGTACAATCTAAGATTTTATGGGAACAGATTTTTTTTTCATTAAATTGGAATCAACCCAAGTTTGGAGCCAACCCAAAATCCACGCTTGCTGACTGGTGTTGCATGACCACATACACACTAGGAATAGGTCAGTGATTATGAACACGGGTGATTTTGCTCCCTACCCCCGGGGGAAATTTGGCCATGTCTGGAGATAGTTTTGGTTGTCACAGTGGGGAGTGGAGATGTGACTGGCATTTAGTGGGTAGAGGCCAGGAATGCTGCTAAACACCCTGCAATGCACAGCCAACCCTTCCTGCCAAACAAAGAATTATCTATCCCCACATATCAATAGTGCCAAGGCTGAGAAACTCTGGGCTAGGTAAAGCTGACTGAAATAATTTCCCAGCATGATAGTTCTGACCTATTCAGTGGCCAGCTCAGGATTGCAGAGTTATAAGGGATTGAGCTTGATCTATACCCCATGTATTCTGAGTTGGTTAATCAAAATTTGTGTCCCAAATAATTCAAAAAAAATGAAGTAGTTTCAAGTGTCTGGTATTCTTTCTGCACTACCACACTAGAATTCAAACTAAAAAATATGTTTTTTATATCAACACAAATATGTTTAGATGGGAATAGCTAAAGAAAACAAACAAACAGATAAGCTGAGCCCAATGAACAAATGAGCCCACT